CTTTTTTTTTATTAATAAATAAAAGTTCTTTACAACAAAAAAGTTTAACTAACATATTACATTAAAAGAAAACCATCACCAAATTTGGTCGTGAGATTCAAAATATTGCAACACGAAAATTATTGTGCATAACTTTTAAATTTAAAAAATCCATGAAAAAGAAAATTTGAGACAAATTTTTTTTTAGATTGAATGGTGGTGAGTTTTTTAATCCCAAACGTGTGGATCACATAATATTTCAAAAAATTTAACTTTTGAGTATAGATGATCCGCACTGTACCTTTCCGCTCTCATTCATCAAAATTCTTTAATAGTAACACAAAATAATTTTTTGATCACATATAATTAGCAATGATTTGCTTTAATACAACTAAAAGTCATGTGAATAATAAATATACAAAGTTTAGTAAATTATCCAATAAAAATGTAATTTCATCATTTTAGACAATCATGGTCCCAATTAATTTATATTTTGGACATTGTCTAAATAATTTAGTTTAGACATCCATCCAGTATATAAAATTCAATACCCGCAATGCCCGAGTGTAACGTCATACATTTATATAAGGATTTTCGACATTTTTGCCATTTTCGGCATTTTTGTCATTTTTGTCAGTTTTGGCATTTTCGGCATTTTCGGCATTTCGGCATTTTCGGCAGTTTCGGCAGTTTCGGCATTTTGCAGATAATTTCTAAATTTGTACTAGATACAAGGAGAATTTATACACTGCACCAGGGCGCAAAATGCCAATTGAAATTTATCGGAAAATTTCTGGATGCAATAAATTTTACCAGTCATGAAAACGGAAATGGTGTAACGTAATTTTTTTTTATTATAAAATGTATAAAATTTAAAAATGAGTTTATTCGAATATGGATTTAGAAGTAGCTCAAGAAGCTCAAGGTATGTTCTATAAATATCAATTCTCTCAATGCCTTCTTTCTTTGTATAAAGTAAAAAAATAATTATTTTGATTGTAGTTTACAAATAAACAATTTATTAAATCCAGAAGAAAATTCTAATAATACTACTTTTGATGCTGAGCTTGCTGGATTGAATTATGAAAATGAAAATGAAAATCAATTAAATCAATTGAATAAAAAAAAAAAAAATCAATAGTTTCAAGCAAAAATGGTTATCTGAATATAAATGGCTTCATTATGACCATATCCATAGATGAATGTTTTATACAATTTGTATTCAACATAAAAGAAAAAATCAATTTGCCCAAGAAGGTTTGTAATAAAAATATTTCTAATATTTAATATATAGTATTATTAAAATTTTGTCATTCAATTAGGACCAAAAAATATAAATAGAAAATCAGCAATAAAATGTCACAAGGATTCACAAGATCACAAAGAAGCAGAAAAATTAGAACTTTTCCAAACTTGCAACAGAAAGATTAGCAGAAAAATTAAATGACAAATTTATTATATAATGAAAGTGATATACATATATAAGCATAATGAAAATTGTTTATTACATTGCACAAAACCATATTCCTATGAAAAAATTACCATCTTTAGTTCAACTTGCAAAAGAATTGCATACATCTGATAAATCACTTTCATATAGTAATGAAATGACATGTTAGCTGCTTTATCAGAAGTTATCTCAGAAAAAATATGGGATGAATTGTCAGAAGTAGAATTTTTTGGAGTTATAATAGATGAATTCATTGATATAACTACTACAAAACATTTAAATGTTTATATTACTTATGTGGTATTATTCAAACCAAATTTTTGCAATTAAGTTGTGGGGGGATGCTGATACAATTAGTTCATTATTGATAAATTTATTTAAAAAAAAAGGTAAATTTTTGTTAAATTTTTATGTATAAACATACACTATATACATTAATAATATATTTTTTTTAATTTAGACATTTTGAAAAAACTCATTTCTTTTGCTTCAGATGAAGCAGCAGTAATGATGGGCAATAAAAAGGTGTAACAATGCAATTAAAGCAATTGTGTCCATTCCTTGTAGTAAATCATTGTGTTGCCCATTGGTTGTCATTAGCTTTCAAAAGAAATTATTTTTTATAATCAGGCTGAAGAAATGATGAAAAGGATTTACAAATATTTCAAAAGTTCATCTACATGAAAAAATAGCCTCAATCTTTAACAAAAATTACTTAATATTCCTTGTATTAACATTCTGAAACTTCATGACATTTGTTGGTTAGCTTGGTATGATGCTGTAAAAAAATGTACGTGAATCCTTACCAGCACTATCATTCTATTTAAAGAATCTGAATCTGAAGTTGGTCAAAGATTATATAATGATCTTTGAAGATGGAAGATGATTGCATTTTTATTTTTTTTTTATGACATACTTGGTCATTTGTCACAGCTGAGTAAACATTTTCAAAAAAACAATTTAAGGTTTAATGATATAGAGCCAGCAATTAAAACAACAATACGACTTATTAATTCAGAATATATAGATGCTCCTCAAAGATTATTTGGAAGAAATTTGAAAGCATTTATTCATCAAACAACTCCTTTTAATAATTCAATAATTAATTATAATAATAATCATGTGCTTGTTTATTCAGATGAAGATTATGATGACTTGTTGTCAAATATATATGAATATGCATCCATGAATAATGCATTAATATATTATTATCTCATCAAGAATTTAGATAACATTCTTGTCTAATCACAAACAATACATCTGTATTTATTTATCTCATTTTTATCATCATTTTTATTATATCATCACTTATATAATTGATTATCTAGTGTGAAGAAATACATTTGTATTCCTATTAAATTTTATTATGTTCAGAAATATGTATAAAAGATTGAAGATAAAAGATAAATAAATAAATATTTTAAAAATTTTAAATTTAAAAAATCACGTGAAATTCTATAACTCGGTTCTCTCGATAAGTCGGTCACAGGGGTCCGCCCCGACATGACCGACTTATCAAGTTTACATATGTATATGAAAAAGAAAATTTGAGACAAATTTTTTTTTAAAATTAATAGACTCCCTTTTTAAAGCTGAATTGAATGGCGGTGAGTTTTTAAAAATCCAATGTGTGGATCACATGATATTTCAAGGATTTTAACTTTTGAGTATAGATGATCCGCACTGTAATTAGAATTATAACCAATTTAAGGATTTCTCCTAATCATGAATTAATTGCCCGAGCCTTTGAAGCAAAAATGACACCTTTAATTAGCAAAACGATTTTAGATAATCAGTTAGGATATAAAGTTGAAAGAATTAAGAAATTATGCTACGAATAGAAGCATTGTTTTAATTAATTGGAACTTGCAATTTCAGCTGCTCGTTTTTTGTGATGTTGATTAAATCTAGATATTACTTTTAAAACTTCAAACTATTTCAAACTCTGAATTATTTTCGAAAACTTGAAACTCCGATACCGTTTTTAAACTTTAAACAACTATTTTGAAACTCTGAAATTGTTTTTAAATCCCGAAACTCTTTTAAAATCGAATCTCCAAAACTTAAAAAAGAAAAATAATAGATACAATGAGTAATTAATGCAAGAAAGAGTTCGATTAAAAACACTGCAAAAAGAAATTATTTTTAAATTTTTAAAAATTTATCATAGATGGATCGTCAATTAATTATTTAGGACAGACGCAATTTTTTTTTTTTTTTGGACAGAGTCCAAGGTGACAAAATGTGAGTGTTGTTGTTTGGGTTGGTTTGGGAAAACGTGTTAATAACTAACCAGAGGTAATTTTTTTTATTTGTAGCGATATTTTTATTTTAGTTTATAAATATTTTAATTGGAATCAAAACGCGAAGCAGATCTTGCTGGGTAATTATAAGATTCTTATCAACAACGAATGATTGTAATAATAATATTATTATTAATATATAATTACAAGAAGATGTCAAGGCAATACACTGTTGGAAAATAAATAATTCAAATATGCAATGTTTGATTATCGGAAATTTTACAGATGTTGAAACACGTACGCTACCTTGAACACTTTACAGTCATTCACGTCTTCCTCATGTACAAAAGGCTAATCTGACCAAGTTTACCTCGATGATACAATTACGATGTTTAATTCCAGGGGGGGGGAGCGTGGCCCTGGGGTTTAGCGGTTTAAGACTGCAACAATCGTCAATGACACTTTCACTAATCTTCCCTCACAACACCCGACCAGAGAAGGCTGCCAACATGTTAGCCAAAAAGTCGCCTGCAACAATCCACCTCTAGGGCAAGAATGGTTCTGTGACCAAGCTGTTGCAACTGAATATTAAGAGAATCTGCAACTTGTTCAAGCACAGGAGGTTACGATTTAGAGTAGGTTAGTGACCCTGAAATTGCATTTGGACTCTGGAAAGTTGTAAAATAGTATTTGTTTTGTATAATCATTTTCCTAAATGCTCCATTTCTCTGATACTGACCAATTTATAATTTTGTCACAAACAAGACAACAACCCAGGACTCAAAACTCTTAATTCAGGGAAAATCCAAAACAACAACCCAGGTTGCAACCTTCTGAGCTGGAGAATTTTGAATCAGGTGCCAACTTTATTCTAATGAGAGGTGATAACACAAAGCAATCATCACATGAATGTCAACTCTCATCAATGATCAATGCCCATATGGAAACAGCCAGCCTGGTCTGAGGGGAAGATAAAGAAAAGTTTTGTCCAAAGCCTTCAAACATATTGGCGGCCTTCACTGTGGAAACAATTTCACAATTATGAGGGTGTGCAAAAGCACCAAACCTTATGTTTGTGATAGGAAATTTTTATTAAATCTGACACCTGTGATCAACATCAGATTTATTATTCATAAGGATAATCAGGAAAATAATTTATTTTGTAAATCCCAGAGATCTGGGTAGACACACATTATTAAAAACTTCATTTCTGCATGGCCTTGGTATTATCACTACTTGGGTGATGCAATTGTTTGTTATGTCGATGATGATATCAAATGTATTGAATAATAATCATGACCATCATGAATATTTGATGAATGGAGGCATTCACATACAAGGAAATATTAAATCATTGATTATTGTAATTGTGCATCAAGATAATGGTCTAGTGTGGTGAACATACCAATAAAAGCTAATATTACATCACCCATTGTTGGGTATGAAGATGATGATAATAATTTGGTTGCTTCATACATTGGTTCTAAGATATGATATAATTCCTAAAACAAAATAAAAATGCATCTTTTATAAATAAAAAAACTTGTGAAATACAAATAATAGAGAATAAATAAAACTTACTCCAATATGCTCCCAATCTGATGTGGTTAAACATGATTTTGGACCTTCTGAGCATTTTTTTTTTTTATGGCAAGAAAGCATGTTTTTGCATTGGTTTTTAATGAAAAGTTCAACAATTTTAAGTTCTAACCAACAAATGCACCTCAATTTAAGATCTACATTTATCTGTTGATTCTTGATTCAGGTGCATGAGATCATGGCTGTGAACCATTATCCGATTAATCAACATGTTTGTTATGAAATCATTGGTGAACATTCAATGTGTTCTAAATCGTTAAGAACATGTACCTATGCAACTACGTGTTTATTTTTACACCATACATCTTTCTTTTTTTCATGCTACTTGGATATGTTTATTTTCATGTCATCCATGCTGTAATGTTAACATGTGTTCCTACGCCCATCATTGATTGTTGTTTGCTGTCAATCGACGTGTTCGAAATTGTTAAGAACACGTACATGTTTATTTTTACACTATATGTCTTTCCTTTTTTTTTTGCACGCGGACGCGTTTATTGTCATGTCATCCATGTTGCAATGTTAACATTTGTTCCTACGCCCATCATTGATTGTTGTTTGCTGTCAATCGACGTGTTCGAAAATGTTAAGAACACGTACCTATGCACTACGTGTTTATTTTTACATTTTATGTTTTTCTTTTTTTTTTCACATGCGGACATGTTTATTGTCATGTCTACATTAACATATGTTTCTTGTGCTGCCATTCATTGAATTACTGATTTTTACGATTTGGCTAGTGAAGAAAAATCAATGTTTGTTCTTGGATGAAAAAAATTTGTATAATAAAGTTAAGTGAATGAGCTACTATATGCAAAGAGAATATTTGATACTCACAAAACAATTTAAATCACATCTAAAAAAAATAAATTCATGGGATTCTCTGGATATACTATCCTTTGATTTTGATTTCATAGATGAGTACAAAAGGTTAAATCTCTTGAACCAAAATGGTTTGAAAGAATTGATGTAATAAAATAAAATGCCATATAAAAAAAATATGTAAAAAAAAATCATTAGAAAATTTGTTTTCAACGTAATAAATAAATAAATGAAAATTGTTTTTCATTTTTCACTTATCAAAAAATTATGCAATCAGAAATTTAATATATTAAGATAATCATGATTATTATCATTATATTTGTGTGTACTAGTCCTGCTCTAAACCTGAAAACACTATCATCAAATCCATCATCTTTGAATGATTTAAATCTCAAACTCACGAAAAATAAATGATTTATAAGGAGGAAATAAAAAAAGTAATATTGCTTGGAGGTATTTTAAACAAGAAGGTGATGTTGTGGAATATCAAGCCACTCTAAAGCAAGGCGATAAAAGAAATTATGCGTGGAAAAGGATTGATGTAAACTTGTTATATTAAAATACAAATAAATTCGTGCATGTGCCGCCGCTCACTCACCGCGACGTTTAACTTAATCTTGTTTTAAAAGTGATCGACAATTTGTTTTGAATAAATCTAAAAAAAAAAATAATCAGTTAATTATCCAAATCTAAATTCGATTTTTTTGCTATCAATGATAGGAAATCATAATGGATAATGTAAGGTGTTTGATTTGCTCAAGAAGATTAAAAAGTCAGGATTCACTTCTTCTACATGTTAATTCAGCACATTTGAATGTTCCTAATACTAATAAGAAAGCAAGAAGAAAACCAAAAAGGCGTAATGGTAATGGTAATGATTATATTTATAATATATTAAAAAATCAAGAAAGATTGATTCTAATGAAAATAAATTTACAATTGCTAAATTTGAAGACAACAGTAATGATGGTCACGAAGATGATGGAGATGATAATGGTAACGGCATTGATGAAATTAAAAAAGGAGACAAAGACAGAAATCTTATAATTATTGATGATGATGATGAGTGTGAGGAGGGGGAAATTGACAATGATAGCAATGACAATGATATGAGTACAAATATTATTATTAATGACAATGATACGAGCATGGGTACGATTAATGACAAAAATAATAATATTCAAATTCAAGAAAATGACGTTAATGACAATAGTAATGACAATATTCAAAATATAAAGAAATCAGTATTAATAACAATAATAGTAATATTCAAATCCAAACCCAAATCCAAAATAAAAAACAAGATGATGAAACAAAAGATGTTTCATTAATATCCAAGCAAAAAAGTATGCCAAAAGGCAAAAAAAAAGAAAAAAAAAGCAAAAACAAAGGTCCGCTAAATAAAGTACAACATAGTAATCAAACAAAAAGTCAGACACAGAATCCTCCAAATATTAATGCACCAGGACTCAATAATAACACCAATAGTGGTAGTCTTCCTTTTTTTAACCTTATCAATTTTAACGATATTGGCGAATCAGTTACCATGCAATTTACTTCAACAACAGGACAAGTTGTTTCAAGATCTTTCATTAGATGTAAGATTTGCAATATGAATTGTGAATCCGATCTAGCCTTTTCACTTCATAAAAGACAAGCACACTGATCAATCAAGCCACCAAATTATTTTTCGATATAATGTTAATTTTATAAACCTAATTGATATTGATAATGATAGTAATAATAGTTATAAATTATTGATACAAATTTACATGATTTTTATTTTTTTTTATTTTAAGCTTGTAAGAAAAAATTTCAAACTATTAAAATATAACCACGTATTAATTGAGCAGGGTAGATAATTTTTGTATATAAGTACTTTTATCAATTGATTTATTTTTCTTTATGCAGATCTCGCCATTTACACATCATGAGTAGTTAACAGAGTATCAATAGAAATACTCAATTTCGACAACACCTACAAAAATAGCAACAATGTTCAGCAGTTCTTCTAATTTACCTCCTTCATATCAGCTTACTAGTTTAGATGATGATTCATCCAATTATCTTCCACTTGTCATCGATAAAGGCTTTATGAAGCTGGTGATAATGGTGTGGTGGCTAATTAGGAAGAAAAAAGAAACTATTCACTTTCTTCAATACTCAATGAAAATTCATTAATTTCTTTCTATATCAAGCAAAAAAATCAAAAGACACTACAATGATATTAGTGACAATGATGATCAACTTTTAACTTCCTACAAGTGGAGAATGTTTTAGATATCCAAAGCAGCTTTTGAAATACTTGAATATGAGGCAGATGAAATGACCGATATCATGAAAAAATATGAACCAGCCAATTAATTGTAAATCCAAAGTTATGTAATAATAACAATAGTGGTACCAATATAAGTAATAATAGTAATAGTACAAGTAATAATAATAGCAGCAGTGATAATAGCACCATAATACTAGCCATGATAATAATATCAGTAGTAGTAATAATAATAATAATAAAATAATGCAACAAACAGCTTGATTGAAACATATCCAATCTAATAATACACAACGGAATATAGAAGTATAATCTAGCTTGGTTTTGTTCGGGAAGTGTTTAGCATTGATGACAAAGTTCAAATATATCAACGCGATATATGACGATTCAAGTGATGACAATCTTATATTGACACCAAATTCAGTGCCTGATGTCAAAAACAACTCTTTTGGAAATGTTGCTTGGCCATTTCCATCCACCACTACACATCTTCTACAAATTGTTTTGATGATAATATACTCACTACAAGCAACAATAGGCAATAAAATTCCTTTTACAATATGGGAAGATCCTGAAGAAGGCATGTGTTTGTTTTTTTTTATATTATTAAATAATAATTTAGTAAACTTGTATGCTGCTATGAATAAAAATTGCCTAGTGTTTCTTATCAACAATGAATTGTTATTTCTTTGGTTTCAATATTGTCATTATTACTTACTATGAACCTAGTGTGGACATTTTCCGATTAAATATGTGGACGGTGAATTTCAAAAAAATAGACTTGCTTTGTGGCTTGCCTATTGAGAATTATTACCAAATTTTATGTAAATCATTAGTTATTTTTGATCTTAGCAAGGTTATAATAAATAAGTCTGCACATTATATCGCTTTATTAAATGTAATTGTCAAGATCCGTCTCTTTGAGGATAATTCTAACTTCCTTGATACTAGTCTCATCCATAGAAACATTGTGGAGTAGTTAAGGGACATTGAAGAAAAACGCTTTGAGGTTTTTAAGTGCTTTTAAATATCCTTGTTATTGGCTTTGTTAATATATGAATTAATAATTAATCAAAGTTTTGCTATAAAATATTTGATATTAATAATAATTTTTCCTGGTTGTACTATATATAAATTCTCAATGCAGAGAGGGGTAATTTTTAAAATTATTTATTGTGAATAAATTGTAATTATTATTACAATCATGTGATCATTGTCTCATATTAATATAATTAATTTTAAAATCAAATTTAGCAAGCCATTAAATTGTTTTTAAAGAGATGATTTCAAATTATAAGAACTAATTTCTTCTAAAGATAAATTTCAATACTCTTTAACTAATAATCCATCAACCTTATAAAATATTCCATTATCAGCCTTATAATTCTCGCTAGTGTGTATATTTCCATTCAACAAGTATTTTTCATCCTTGATATCTTTGTCAACTTTGATTTTAACATTTTCATACATTGTCTGTAATTCTTCACCAACAGAAAGCGAGATCAAGTTTTTTTCAACAATATGTCCTAACACAAAATTATGTAATTTTGTCGTTGGATCCTCTGTTACAGAAATGTTACTTGTAGGTTGGTATGGTAGGTTACGAAACACTGAATTAGTAGGTGCAAAAATTGTAAATGTTTCATTGGGGTTTCCTAACATTTCAACCTAAAAAAGATTAATAAATCGCAACCATTTATTATTTATAATAATCTCATTCCAAAAATGATAATAATGATGATAATAATACATTACTATATCACCAAACAAATAAACATAATCCATGAAAATAGTTAAATCTTTTTCCCTGGGCAAGATGTCCCTTAAGCTAGTATACCCTATGGGTATTGGTTCATTTGGAAGTTTAATTATTAGCTGTCTTTTTTCTTCTTCGGTCATATTTGCCTTGCCATAGTAGCGATAAGGATCTACCATTTCTGATGTTGTTATTGAGAATAAGAGTGAAAAGACGAGCACTATTTGTAAAAAGATGCACTTTTGCTCCATTTTTTTATTACAAAAAAAGTATAAACTGATCAGCGAAATGCTATTTGTATAAAATTTGGGATTGATTTTCCACGTGATACTAAATTGATAATAATTTTGGTAGCATTTAATCCGAATTTGAATCAATTAACGGATCTATCACAATAACGCTACGTAATTGTCCAAATAACTGAACAGTATCAACAAAGCGAAGCTTCTTATAATTCTCCTAATTCTTCGCTAGTTCTTAGCCACACTGATTATAATTAGTGGGTGTAATCGTAAGAATTGGGAATTCGAGTATACTACCGACTCACCCCACATCACCAAGATATAAATTTGATGATTTTTTTGATTACAGGCTTAGACTGAACTATCTAGAATCACTTTAAACAAATCTTTGATAGCTAGGACCGAAAAAAGTTATACCTTCGATGAGATGCGTTAATGCATATTCGTTCACTTGGAGGGTTATTAGGCAGGCAACGGTAAAATCTTTATAATAGAGATTGGTTTATGGATAGGGTTAAAAAAAGGACTAAAATTATTGATGGGGTTAAAATTATTGATATGATTATTGTGAGGAAGACTACCACTATTGGTGTAAGTATTATTGTTATTATTGAGTCCTGGTGAATTAATATTTGGAATTGCGTGTGGATTCTGTGTCTGATTGTTTGTTTGATTACTATGTTGTACTTTATTTAATGGACCTTGATTTTTGATTTTTGATTTTTTTTTTTTGCCTTTCTTTTGCTTGAATGTTAGTGGAACATGTCTTATTTCATCCTCCTGAATACCTTTCATATTATGAACAAGCCTTTTATGTCTACTAAACGAATATCTATTATGATTGACTTCTTTACATCCAGGACAAGTGATTAGAATTGGGTGATAAGCTTCTGGATGATTGGAATCTATATGATTGCTTAATTCTAATAGTGAAGAAAAAGACGCATTGCACATTTCACAAGGAAATTGCGGATATATTTCAATGATATTATTGGATTGATTAATAGTTTCTTTGCCTTTAGTTGATGTAGTAATGATGTTTTTTATATTTTGATTATGAATATTGCTATTACTATTGTCACTGATGTCATTTTCTTGTTTTTTATTTTGGATTTGGATTTGGATTTGAATATTACTATTATTATTATTAATGCTGATTTCTTTTATATCTTGAACTTTGTCATTAATCGTACTCGTGCTCATACCCATACCCATATCATTGTCATTAATAATATTCATACTCGTACTCATATCATTGTCATTGCTATCATTGTCAATTTCCCTCTCCTCCCACTCATCATCATCATCAATAATTATAAGATTTCTATCTTTGTCTCCTTTTTTAATTTCATCAATGCCATTACCATTATCATCTCTATCATCACTGTTGTCTTCAAATTTAGCAATTGTAAATTTATTTTCATTAGAATCAGTCTTGATTTTTTAATATATTATAAATATAATCATTACCATTACCATTACGCCTTTTTGGTTTTCTTTTTGCTTTCTTATTAGTATTATTAGGAGCATTCAAATGTGCTGATTTAACATGTAGAAGAAGTGAATCCTGACTTTTTAATCTTCTTGAGCAAATCAAACATCTTACATTATCCATTATGATTTCCTATCATCAAGAACAAAAAATCGAATTTAGATTTGAATAATTGACTAATTATTTTTTTTTTTTAGATTTATTTACCTCGTTTATATTTTACTCGAAAAAATTTTTGTTACTAGTATTGATTGGTATTAGAATCAGGAGTGTTAGATAAATATAATAATAATTTCAAACCATTTCACACAAAACGATCGAAAGTGATCGACACTTAATCAATGAATGATTTTTAATATTAAAAATACAGAATTGTTATTCGCACCCCTCCCGTGACTAAGACAAAGATGAACCAATAAAATCATCACATTTTAAAGCCATTCATTGGTCACATTACTACACTTAGTCACGGGAGGGGTGCGAATAACAATTCCCTAAAAATATATATTATGACTGTTGTTATTTTTTACTAATGAATTAAAGAAGTACAATAATATGCTAAGACTTTGTTATAAAGATCCTGTGGTTCTCAATTTCTTTAAAGGTCATTGATTTTTTTTTTATTATAAATTTTAAATTACTTTTAAAATAATAGGATTGTCAACAACCAAGAAAGAAAGATACATAACAAATTAATTTCACAAAAACTTTCATTTCCAAGAAATATCGCCCTTATTTTCATGAAGGAAGTGCTATTAAAAATGGACGCCCAGATGCGAAGAATTTATTGAACGTTTTCCATTCAATTGGGATATCGAACTGAAATAATAAAGGTCTTGTACATCAAATTGTTTTATTTCTTCCATTTCTCAGAATGTTATTACTTGATAAATTGAAATTTGTAGTGATGTTAAGTGAGGATATTTTTTACCTATCTTTTTCAATGTCTAATTAATATCTTGTAATTTTATATTAATAACGTAATAATATACAAAATATTGAAGTAATAAAGAAACTCTTTTGCTGGTAAAGAAATAAAAGGCTAGTCTTCATACTAACCTTATATAATTCTTTTATTTTCCTGCGACATACAAAATTTAGTAAAAGCACATAGTCATTCCAATATTCTGGACTATTATCATTACAACTAGACATCTTTTTGATCCGATTAGTATAGCATTCCTTGGATCATTTGAGATATTGTTAGTTACAGTATTCATTTTTTTTATACTAGTTTGTCTTAATGAGTGTTGTGGTTTAAATCAATATTTCTTCTTGCTGAATATTCTGCAAACATTATTGATTGTGTTAAAATGGCCAATTTATTATGCATATTTATGCTGGTATTCTTTTTAACAAGACATCTGGTGACTTTCTGGTTACTTCAACAACGTCAACTCAATGTTTACTATGCGAAGTATTAGATCTAAATCAAATGAGATAATGGGTGAAATGATGGATAAAATGGATATATATAATGATGATGATTTTGTTGAATTTACATCAGTTTTCCTTATTTCTGGACAACTTCGTCACAAAAAGTATACTATTAAATCATTTATATAACAAAAATTAAAATAAAAAGAATTGATAATAAATCACATTCCCGATATAAATATATCCATATTCATAACAACAACAGACATATAAAGGAACTATCTTCAAAAAAATTACGAATAACCGGAATAATAATGATATCACATCTATCACTATTGACAACAAAATTAACCAAGAAAGATAAATCTTATGCAGAAAAGTTATTATTATCGCTGGTGACTAGTTCTTCCGGTCCCTTGTTTGAAAAGTTGCATCCTTTCTTTTTCTATTCTTACCAAATGTATTACTGCCCTCCAAATTCATGTTCATTTCTTGCTTTTTTTTTCATTTTCAATTTTGTAATTTGTAGATGATTCTCTTCAAAGATTTTTTTTCATGTAAAAAATAAAGCTAATATTTTATTTATTTTATTACCTTTTATTCATAGTAAGTATTGCGTACTTGTGGCTTTCCAGACACCAAATTTTATTTAGAAAATATTGGGAAATTATGAGGGTTTTGTAACACATACATTCTCAACTATGTTCTTATTAGATAGTGAACAGTTAGTATTAGATGGTTACAATTACGAAAATTCTCTGCAAACCCGTGGATGTTGTTTAAACATTCTATATAGTCTTCCTCTTTTATAAATATAATAAATTTATAGCTGCTAATGATCCTATTTCATTGTTCGCAGAATGAATATTGTGAAGATATAAATTTCTTCTACGTTCGAACTTTACAACAATAGATTAATTAAAGGCCAATGACAAAGAAAATAAAGTTATGACGAATTTTAAAACTGAATATGTGAAATTCATAAGGCAAAAAGGCGTGGTTATTTGACTGTGGAACGACTTTTACTTAGCATGCGAGGTATATTTATTTATGTAGCGTAAAAAAAAAGTAAAATCAAAAAATCAATCATGTCATAAGGATGATGTGTCTTTTTGTGTTTTTTAAAGATGAAACTAAAAGTGCAAAAATGTGTTTCTTTGATGAATTCTAAAAGTCCGACGAATTCCGATTGGTTGTCTGCTGAAATATATTTGACAGCAGAATAACTTTTACTTGGTGGCATGCGAGGCTTGTTTTTTTAAATTATTCGACAATTGAACAGTCGGTTACCAAAAAAATAATTCATAAAAATAAAATAAAATAAAATCCTCTTTTATTTAATAAGGAAAAACATCTGATATTGATGTTTAAATGTATCAATCATTTTCCTATATTATTCTGTTTAAAATATTACTTTTCTCGCTGAGAACATGGCTAGTTTGTCTTCAAGTGAACACCACCCACCACCCATTAAAGTCAAGCAGGCAAAAGTGTTGAAAGTGATAAAAGCAATCAAGAAGAGCCAGTAAAAATTTGTTCAGCCGGTAAAGAATGCGGTGCTGATTTTGCTGATAATGACTCTACTTGAAATCAAATAAATATTAGTATGTTAATATCTTACTGGTCGACAATAATAGTTAGCATCAATAGAAACTAGAGAAACGTATTAGTATCTTTGACATTTTTGTGAGTTTGTTATTGTAACCCAAAAATTGAATCCATTATTGTTATTTTCCTTGGTTTAACAACAATAATATCAAAAATTTCCTCATCATCAAGATTAATAATTTGTTAATTATTTTCAAAATTTGATTTTTTGTTTTATTCTGGGTCACTCCAATTATAGAGCCAGCGATTAAGTGACTTGCATTATATTACCAGTCAAATGATATGTCACAGGAAGTGTAATTATTAATATATTATAAAAACAAAAAGTTGATGTGTAACTTATTATTTTTACTATTTAAATTCTTGTCTATCTGGAGAATCATTACCTCATAACTCTGAGAATAGAATGATCTGTGTTCGTTTGTTTATATAATAAAAATAATGATAACTAGTTACATACAGTCAACCCCCTCTAAGTGCACCCCCCTTGGGAATGAATGATAGCGTGCACTTAAAGAAAAAAAGCATTCCATTGGTTGCACGTGACTCCAATAAAGAATAAAAATTTATTAATTAATTATAACATTATTATCACTAAAAAAAATTTTATATAATTATTGATTAAGATAAGATCCTATTGTAGTTTGCCTCATTGTATTTATTGTTTTCAAACCAATATATCTATCAAGAGAATTAACCAGTTTTATTTGTTGACTAGAATAAACAAAATTCATATTTTTGAGAATTAGATAAAGTTACTCTTTTTGGAGACATTTTATTTAGAAGCAATAAAAGAATAAAATATTTAATGAGATGAGTGTGAGTGCAAAAATTAGATGGTTGGGTATGTAAGAGAGTATATATTAATTATTTTTAATTTATTAATGATAAGGTTAATTTATAATAGAAGTTTTATTTTTAAAGTTGGTTACAAGAGCTTAGTTATTAAATAAGATTCTTGATTCATGTATTATTTATAATAATTTCAACTACATAAGCTTCTTTGTTTGCATTCTTGTACTTTTGTTTTAATAACCTTTGTATCTATTAAAAAGAAAGAATTCTTTATTTCCCTGTCACTTAATAAAAATGAACAATTCTTTTTCCACCTCTTACAAAATAATTTTGTCATACTAATAAATTTAATTCTTTACCTTTTACTAGTAATAAATTTAATTCTTTATATTCTTTATTATTATTTAATTAAGTATAAAATTTAATTCTTTATCATTTCTTACAAAAAATCAATTCTTTAAAGAAAAAGTATTTTAATTTAATAACGTCGCACAATTTTTGTACAACTATCACGTGAAAGTCACGGGAGTGCACTTAGAGAGTGAGTTTTATATAGATGGGAATGAAAAAAGACCATGCAGTGCAGTGGGAAGGGGGTGTCCACTTATCTCTAATTCCCGAGATTGGGAATGAATGAAAGTGTGCACTTAGAGGGGGTTGAATGTATGTTTATATCGATAATATAAAGTAATACATTTATTGTTGAAGACAGCATCTATTTGCATTGAAGATAATAAACTTATTGTTAGATTGATCTTGAATTATTCTTCGATGTATCGGCAAACTATCTCTACAAAAAAAGATACTATTTCACTAATCTATTATGCAAGTTCTGATGGTTATTTAATCAATATACGGGTTATCCACAAGTTATTTAACAAAGTTCATCACACATCTAGAATGTATATTATTTGCTTGAACTTTACAATTGCAAATAATATTTGATATTGTTTTCTAGATGCAGTGTTAATAACTTTTGATTTTAGAGCACAATATCTAACCAAGATTAGTTAGAATAACATGCTCCACGCACATAAATTAATCAGCCTATGTCATGTGAATTTATTTGAGTCAAAGTTCACAAGTTCAAATGGTTTTTTTTAAAACAACTTTTGAACCAGTTACAAGTCACTCCCGTTATAATGACACTCCATGTCAAGCAAAAAATGTCAGTATAACGAGATTGTCATTATAATGGAAGTTCATATAAAAGTCACATGAGAATCACAAGTTTTTATTTTATTAATTATTTTTCAACATTGTTTAGCCTCTCTAAAACTCTGACTTATTGTTTTTTTTTTTTTTTTAATTCTTGTAAACTATCTAATAAGCGATCCTCCACT